AGACAACACCTGGGAGCCCTACGCTCTCCTAAAGGGAACAGCGGAAGAAGCCATGAAAGATTTCCATGACCAATACCCAGACAAACCCCGTCCGGGAACAGCCTGAGAGGAGGGACGAAAGATTATAAAAGGAGCGACAAGAGGACTCCAACAAGATCATCTTCTCACCTCTTTTCCCCTCTCAAACACATTCCCCTTTCGAATGCTCCTCCACGACGACCACGATGCTTCGTCACCATCCAGAAACTCCTCCCCCGATGTCGTCCTTATGGTCGCCAATCCAGATGTCGAACGAGTGGAAAGAGGAACAAGTCCTCACCGACCAGATGCTGGACGAATTAATAGAGGAACAAGTCCTCAACAACCAGGATCTACCGGCGTCCTCCTCACCCCTCATCTCAACAACTTCTCCGACGACGACGCCGAAGACTATGGCAAGTTCAAAGAAAGGGAAAGAACCCGAAGACCCTCACCGGAGAGGGCCTCACGAGATGCACCACGGCATGAAAGCTCTGATGACCGAAACCAGTCGAGCCTTGGCCCATTACCAGTGGGAGTTCCACCTCCTAGTGAAGGCACGCGTCCTAGTGGAGTTGCAGGTCCCTCGGGACTTCGAGCAAGAACGGCAGCTCAACTCCCAAGCCATGGAGAAGTTGAACCAATACCAGTTTTATCAGAAACTGCACCTCCGCCAGTACCAACTAGTGGACCGATTCCCAGCTCCATGGGAGGACCTACCCCTCGTACAGATCCTCACACCGGAGAACTGGAGCGACACGCGGACGCGCTCCTCCAGCGGAACACCATCTCCGCGGTAATACAAATGGCCACAGCCATGGCCCTCCAGAGACTCGCTAACTTCTCGGCAGGACAACCCGGGAATGAACATAGCGACGTACCTCGACGACTGGCTAGTGCCAGTCTCCAGATCAGAGCACTCGCCCTCCAAACCGACCCGGACACAGCCTCCTGGTACGCCCACAATGACGGGCGACCCCGAGCCCTCCTCATCCACCCGGACGAGTTCTCCCAATACGTCAACCGAGAGCTCCTTCCAGCTCTCCTCTTCGGAGGAGAACTGGGAAACGTCCAACCAAGCAGGACCGACCCCTTCCGAGTTGTCACTTGGAACGTACCACGTCCCGGAGAACATCCCACGTCTGTACCAAATACAAGGAGGGTTCCGCGTACGGTCGTGGAGCGCCCTCCACCGAGACAACGAGAGGTTCCTACAGCGCATAGCCATACCGCGACTCCCCCCTCTCACCGGATACGAGGTCTTCCCCTATCCCAAGGAAATACCGACGAGGAGGAACCGCCCGTCTATCGAAGAAATGAGGGAAGACGGGGTCGGGGAAGTCAGGCAACCCTCGGACGCGGAACAACTGCTGGCCGGAGTGTTCGACACCGGCCTAGATCGCCTCCTCCTAGTGCTCGATTTCGTACGAACGAAAGAGAGGATAACCGAAGTAGCCGCAGAACTCGCCGCATTGATTCGGAGGCTCGAAGAAATAGCTCTTGGACTAGATCCGAGCTCGACGCATGGGATGCTCTAGACGATCCGGGGAATTACGACGAAGCGGACCCCTACTATCGACCCGACGAAGGGGGCGGGGATTATCAAGGACCTTTTGATTATTAAACGGGCTGATAACGGGGCACAGGAAAAAGAAAGGGGGTAAGGAAGTTGAGGAACTCCTTCCCCTGACAAATTACATCCGAAACGATGTAAAACTACAATCGTCCGCAACGACGTAAAACTAGGATCGTCCCTCAAGACGTTAAACTGTACGACCTCGTCCGAAAGAGACGTTAAACTACCGCGCGTCCGGAATGACGTCTAAACTATCGGACCTGCATGTCTTAAAACTGTGAAAAGACAAGAAGGCAGGGGAAGTACCTGACCATTAGTCCTAGGTTCAAATGATGGTACGAATCAAGGACAACAGCGGGCATAATTCCACGTACGACCTACGGCGGAATCCTTTCACATCCTCGCTGTCAAGGAGTAATCTGACAGATGCATCGAGCGTCCCATTTGGATCCTCAGTTTTACAGGGTTTTTTCCGCATTAGGGAACCCTCTACATGACATATACTCTACTCGTAGGTGTCGACAAGCAGGCCCTTCGCCTTGGTACAGCGAAGTGCCCATACATAACCGGTTGCAAGTCCGAGTCAAGAAATTATGATGCATAACTCGTATCGTGAACCCTCACAGTCAAGGTCTGACTGGTGTTTTGGGACGTCCCACTTTGGATCTCCCGTTTTACAGGATCGTTTCCGCATTAGGGGATCCTACAGCTGGCGCATGAGATGATGTAGAGAGCGGGCCGCCTCTACCTCACAAGTCTTCCTAAATGATGCGAGGCCACAAATTACATCCGGAACGATGTAAAACTACCAAAGGCTTGGTCCGCAATGACTATAAACTACTAGGGTCCGCAATGACGCTAAACTAGTCTTCGTCCGAAACGACGGAAAACTACCATCGTCCGAGATGACGTTAAACTACCATTGACCAAAGGAGCGTGGTTGCATTCTGGCGAAGCGCGGAAGGACTCGCGTCACAGAACCCTGCCTATAAAAGGTCGAAGCGCTTCCGATATTCACTCGCTTTTCGGTAAAAGAATATCGGGTCGTCTTGGTTCAAATCCAAGCGAGGGGTCTGGGGACATGGAAGAGCAAGCATCTCTCCATGGAGCGCTCAGTCTAGTCCTGGAGTCGAAGTACAAGAAATTCCGCTCCAAGACCTAGTCAGGAGGCAACTAGGACACGTGCCTCGAGTCAAAAAGATCTAGTAGGAAGGGACTAGATCACACGACTCTCGTCTGGCCCACATAACGGAAGAACGACAAGAGCGGGCCACTCATCCGAAGTCTATTCCGCCGCTCGTCCGCGACGACGTAAAACTAGGCCATCGTCCGCAACGACGATAAACTACGAAGCGTCCGGGATGACGTTAAACTAAGCATTGTTTTTCCACAATATTTGTGGCGAAACAACGTCCGCGATGACGCTAAACTATTGTCCCTTTCCACATAGGGATTGTTGGAGGCCATTTTTGCTATGAAAATGGCGTCCACGTCCGCAACGACGGTAAACTACGGGCATCCGAAACGATGTAAAACTACTGTCCCTTCGTCCTAGGGATCGTGCGTGGCGATCTTGACAAGATACCGCGCGTCCGCGACGACGTTAAACTAGTGCCCCTGGACCTAGGGGTTGTCATTGACGTCCAATCCCCTGGCCGCCAATGCGTCCGTAACGACGCTAAACTACTTGCTCCCGATCGCATGGGAGTTGTGATTCATCAATCTGGTGAATCGTCCGCAATGACACAAAACTATTTGCTCCTTACCGAATAGGAGTTGTGGATTGACCGCCATGGTGTCAATCGGTCCGCAATGACATTAAACTACGTGCTCCTTACCGTACAGGAGTTGTGATTCATCACTCTGGTGCTGAATCGTCCGCAATGACGTTAAACTACTCGTCCCTTTTGGTACAGGGATCATCGGTCGACACCATTCTTGACGAGAATGTGTCGACAATGTCCGAGACGACATTAAACTACCCTCATCCTCGGAGGAAAAATCTATCGTGACTCGAGGGACACAGTCAGACGATAGACCGCCTATCGCACGGCATTAAACTGCAAGGGTGCCTATCGCACGGCATTAAACTGCGAGGATGCCTACCTCACGGCATTAAACTGAGCGGTCTCCTACTACCGAGACGTACAAGTTATCCGGTTTGATATAGTATAAACCGTCCATCATGCCTCAGTGGAATCTGGAGCGGGTAAAGTCTGGTCTATGGCCCTATGCACACAACCGATGGAAATTCCGGCGTGCAGAAACATCTTTCCCCACAGGTATTCCATGTTGATGATGAAGGACGTCCGCAAAGACGTTAAACTACGGATCGTCCGAAACGACGATAAACTACGGACCGTCCTGCATGACGATTTAAACTGCCAGTCGTGGATATATCTCGCAACCCGACAAATATATCAGCTGTGGTCTAGATGTCCATTCGTGCAAGCGAACGGGCAGACTTGGAAAAGGAGTCAGACTCCTCCTTGTTCCTCGCTGCACCCTTCAAGTCTAATTCTCTTCACATCCTTGCCTCGAACCCAACACTACACGTGGTATTCCCCACCATAGGCCCACGTTTGTGAAAAACAAACTCTGGACGCCGTAAACTGCCTCACCGGAGATGAGTCCACCGTATGGGGACAATACTGCTTGGGATTTGGCTGCAACCTCACCGGAGATGAGCTCACCGTATGGGAGCGATACTGCTTGGGGCGTCCTGTCGTCAAGAGGAACAACAAATCATGAGGATAGACGACTATCCTGGAAACACTGAGGTTTGGCCCTCGGAGAAGGAAGAAGAAGAACCTGATGACACGAATCGGAACCCACACGCTAGAGTTTCTATTCATCCACACACCACTCGCATTCATACGCCTTTCTTGACACCTGTCCGGCGTCGACCGGACTGACATCCTGGCTTGAGAACCCAGGAAAGATCACAACAACCGAGGGGTGAAGGAAGAACATCCCACAGAGCGGAGGTGTGGTACCCTCACGACTCGACAAACAAACAGCTCAACGGAGATGGAAAACTCCTAGAGGATCAAACGACGTAAGTCGGTCTTCCTCCCAGAAAACGAAGTCATGTCTCGGAAGTCGCATCCGAAGACCATCGTTGGATCAAGAAAGCAAATCGTATATGGAGCGGCGATGAAGCGCACAGCGCTGTCCTACCAGGCGAATAGGACGTAGAAAGGGGGTATTGTTATGATCACGTTCTATCGGGCCTACACGGCGGTCTATACCGATACGATCATCACAAATATCACGCGGCCTCACAGGTTGAGGCGTACACCAAGGTACAGATATTAACCTTGGTCATCCACTCCCAATGGATCATCAATCATTGGTCGAGTATCACGGGCCTTGTATTAGCGGGCATGGAACGCCGCCTTATAAATTACTCACACGCAGGGCATGAACCTCCTAGTCTCTCCTGGCCGGAAGGAGACCAACGGAGAAGCACAAGAGTAGTCGTTATTGAGAGAGACGACTTAGAGAATACCTACAGATACATATTCGGTATTCTCACGCCCTACTTCCTAAAGTAGTATAAAAGGCCCATAGAATAGGCTGAGGATCTTCAGTCTATTCTCTTCGTTCACTGTGGTCTTCCTACCACAGTACTTCGTTCCCCTGTATCTTCACATACAGGAATCTTCGTTCTGGTACTGTCTTCCTACAGTACTTTCTATTGCTACTCTGCAATACACTCCAGGCTCCTGTGCTACACGTACAGTCGAGACCACCGTTCCACACATCCTCCACGAGTGACCTAGGGAAGAACCTCCTACTCTTGGGGTTACCGACGAGCAGTCGTAACACATGGTGTGCACGATTGATTCTTTTTTCGTGAACACCCCTCGGAGCGGCAGTACGTTGTCATAGTCTGCAAACTCCGGGTTGTCCAGGCGTGGCTTGATAATCGTCATGTAGATTAACCACGCACGCAATCCGAGAATGAGGCGTTGGGTGTCTCGATACCACAACACCACGTCGAAGTAAGACATGGGGGTCTCTTGAAGACGAGAGCAAGCGCGTCGAAGGTAGTCAATTTCCCGCAGAACATAATGTTTGCGGCGCTCCGTGTACTGCTCTCGATCACTTCGGTGTGCAAACATGCTGTCCAGCTCCGTATCCACCACCTTAAGCACCATCACAATGATTTCGTTGGCCGCTGACCGCAAGCGTCCGTGTAGGGGTGGAGCCAGGAAACCGACGTCCTCGTGGGGCAGGTGAAGAGACACAACAAAGTCGGAGTCCTCGAGGCCTTCCCAGGCGATGGCCGGATGCTGGAAATCCGGTAGCGTGCACTTCAAGTCGAGCAATGGATTTTCCTGGAATTTGAGATTGAACATCAGGTCCGGGTTCCCCGGCGCCGCCAGGGTGTGCGGCTCCTGCTCATCGAAGACTTGCGGCCACTTGACATGTTCGAAGGCGCCCAGCATTCCATCGGCGTAGAACCGAAGGGGTTGGCCTCGACGATGCATGGGAAGTTCTGGGACGAATTCCACATTGGGCGACGAAATCCACACGCCCCCATTGCTGTTGGGAAAGGGCGCCAAAGTGAGGCAGTCATTGTGCGCCAGCACGATGCCCTCCGTCAAAGGCTGGCGATGGGCGAGCACCTGCGCCATAGAGGTGAAGGGCGTCGGGTTGTAATCGCTGTACGATACCGGTGAGTCCTCATTCACTACGTTATTCACCACGCACTTACGTGGAATTGGGATCTGCCATCATAGGACACAGGGTATACTCTCTCACGAGAGAGCGTTCTGCAATTGATCATGAATCAATGCAGGTTAGAACTCGCATCACAAGTGGGCCTACCTTATTTTGCAAAAGGTTAGTTGTGTGACGCGCGAGGGCTTCCTCGGAATTCCTGATCGGGTTAGGTTAGGACGTTGTTGAAGGCTTCCTGAGGCTGCCAGGAGGATAATCCGCCTCCAGAGCTTGCGGAGGGTGCACGTGGGTGCGTGGGTCGGTGAGTCGGTGCCCGTCAGGCTACCTCACGTCCGAAAGACAGAGGTGGTGTCTCGCGCCCGAAAGGTGGAGACTTGCAATGACGGGTACAGGGGGGTCCAGGGAGAGTCGGCACAGGTCGGCTTTGAAGGGAGGCCAAGGCTTGAGGCGTTGGCTTATATGTTGCATAAACTGGTTGAGTCACGGGTGAAGACGACGAACACTGTTTGCTTACCGTCCGGGGGAGCAGTTGAGGTCAAAATGCTGAGGGATTGGCTGACCGCCCCTGGGTTAGCTTCTGAGATGAATGTCACAGAGTGAGGAAATGCAGGCGGCGAGGGCGCCGATAGAGGACTCACCTGAGATTAGGTTACACGGCGCGGCGGTTGTACTCAAGGGGCTTGGGAATGCTTGGGTGGTGGAGGTCGATGCCGGGAAGGACAAGTGAGTGGCCGTGGTTGGGGCGCGGCAGTATAGGAGGTGAGGAGGACGACGGTGAGCGAGATCAGGGGCACTCCAGTGTGGGGAACGGAAGCAAATCGATTGTTGAATCGCCGTGTGTGAGGGAGTGGTTAGGGTTGGCCCCCAGAGCGCCGCGATGATGACAAATAGCTTGCACGTGCTGCATGGCACGAGGAAAATTTCGTCGAAGTCCAACGTCCACCATTTCAGACCGATAGGTGTGCTATTGCTCCTGTCAGGTCAGCTCCTCTCTCCTTCCCCCCTATTCGTTGTATCGCTGCCAACCCCGACGCTGACATTCCACCAGTTTGGATCCAGTACGATCTTTCGTTGATCCTCAGCGCTCCAAACTTACTTCCTTACAGACTTCACAAGGATTTGACAAGGCTCTCACCTCAACACTGTCTACGCGGACGATCACCTCCTCTTCCTCTGCTTCGTCGCAACGGCTTTCCGCCTTTCGGGCGCGAAATCCTGCCTCCGTCTCACGGACGTTGAGGTTCCGTTGTCGACGAGTTGAGCGAAACTCGTCTCACCGACACGGGCGAGCCCCCCCACGCGATTGATTCCTCAAACATTTTTCGCAAGTACTAGGACGCCTTATTGACGGCACGACCGCCAGCGAGCCCCGTCGACAGGACATCCGTGGGTTCTCCTGCTTCCCTTACATGCAATCTCGCACCACAGTACGTATCTTCATGACGTTGAGACGACAACCGAGCGGCTCACTTGAGGGCCAGACAACACTGCGATGCCATCACGTTCCTCTACTCAGAGATCGCCTTCCAAAAGGATCCGATTTACGTCGGATCGCGGCGCTCAACATTCCTTGACCCAGACGTCCACGGGCCTCTCCTCGGATGCCAAGTGTGACCCATGGGCTGCCATGAGAGGCGTCCATCTACTCCCTGCAGCTCCCGGCACGCCCACCTGGGAATCTCTGCCCGAGCCCGGGGCTCTCCATGGACCTCACAACACAGAATACGAGATGATGGAGGCGAGCATCGACACGCCGCCGAAACGCCAGAGCAACACAATTGTAAGGGTGATGCGCATTTCATGCAATCACACACTGACAGGATTTGTCGCAGGCACCCTCTGTGAGGATGACTCAATTCATGGACGAATGGGCTCCCTTGGCATTCTGCGAGCTATTGGCCGTCGAGGCACCCCCGCCTGACATGCGATGTTCGCGGTGTCCTCAAGGATCTGGGCACGCGAGGAGCCCTCTCGTTGTTTATCGATGTGTGGAATGCTTGCGTACACATCAATACTGCCAGTCGTGCATGATTTCCACTCATGAGTCCATGCCTTTCCATCGCATCGAGCAGTGGACGGATGAGAAAGGCTTCTGGGAAAAAAAGTGTCTGGCAGACCTTGGGTTGCGGTTGCACCTAGGACATGACAGCCAGAAGTGCCCCATAGCAATCAATGGTCCTCGAGAAATGACGATCGTCCATGAACACGGCATCTCCATCATCCTAATTCACTTTTGCGAATGCCTTCATCATCATACCAGTCTCGCAACGCCGGATTCTCTCCAGCTCCTCCGTTGTGGCTTATTTCCGGGGTCGTGGGAGAAGCCGAGAACGGCGTTCACCGTCCAGGTTCTGAAGAGTTTTCACCTGCTGGCGTTGCAATCGCAGATCACAGCCCACGACTTCATGAGGTACCTCAGGCGCAAAACAGATAATGTATTTCCTGACTCTACACCGGTGAGCAATATCTCTTTATCCGGAGCTCCTGAAAATTGACGGGCCGGGCCAGGATCGCTACCGGGAATTATTGATCACAATGCGAGAGTGGACGTACCTAGTCGCCGTGAAACGCGCCGGCCAGGCTCCAGCTCGCAACATGACCATCGGCAGTTTGGCAGTGCTCTGTCCCGCTTGCCCGCAGCCCGACATCAACATGGCGCCCAATTGGCGTGAGCGACCTCACTCGCAGAGGTATCTGTGTTTGCAATTCTATATGTCACGTCGCAGAGAGTTGACGGTTAAAACAGCTTCTTGGATGCACTTTTCCACACGATTGATGGCAATTTTCACCAGAACCAAAAGATCAAGCCCTTGGATCCCAACGACTTCCCTCTGACCTTGGGCGCGGGCTATTTCGCGCATGAGGGAGACTTTGAGGCATATCAGAAACTACTGGGACCGATGGAACGCGAGGTACGGCACTGATCTATCATGGCGGTCCCGCTCTGTCTGATTTCGTGCTCCAGCCGTCTACGTGCCATCAGTTTGGAGCCATGGGCTATGGAGGGTATTGGGGTAAGGTATCCGGAACAGTCGGTCTTTCCTGTGCCCGACACATGTTCGTGTTGCCGGGGGGAGGGGTAGACCTACAAAAGGGGGAAAGGTATGCCCTGAAGTGCGCTTAGCAATTATGCCCTAGATTGATGTCACCACTCTCCAGATTTGCCAATGTTGATTTCGCGATGGCATCTGGCTTGAAGCGTTGGATGGAACTGCGCTTGCACGTCTCAGGCTACGACATCAATTGTCAGTATCGGATCCACTTCGACAAACGAATGGCATGGATGGGCGATAACACAGGGCACCTTCCAGCTGTATCCGGGGCTCGATTCCCTACCACAGTGGCAGCTGTCGGGAAATTTCATCTCCCGGCGCACAAAGCGTCATGTCGGTATAAGTTCTCATACCATTGGTTGCCCGGCGTGGGGATGACGGATGGCGAGGCCCCTGAACGAATCTGGGCGATCTTGAATGACATCGGAGGCAGCACTCGTGAGATGACCTCAGGACATCGTCACGACGTCATCAATGATCACCACTCAGACATGAATGTGCGACGAACCCACAGCATCGGTAGGTGTGGACCTGTGCATCTATCTATCCTCAGTCTAACCCTCATGTGCCCACACCAGTGAAGGCCACATCGAAGAAGTATGACCAAGCGCGTACGGAGTACGTCAGGGCGAAGGATGCACTGCAGCGCTTGGAAACTCAAATCGAGCCTGGGACTCTGGCTCAATGGAAGGTCGAGGAACAGAATTGGCTAGAGAAGGTGGTGGACATGAAACAGCACGATACCTTGCACAACCCGTATGAGCCACGGAACGACAAAGGTCTGTCACTCAAGTGGGCTGCGTTAAACGACTCGCTGACCCCTCTGCAGGGCTCACTCAGAGACAAGCGTTAAACTTGCTGCAGAGGCGTGGAGACGGTGTAGATGCCATGGGCGCAGGGATGGTGGGAGCAGTTGTTACGACTGCTCGTCGGTAACCCCGAGAGTAGGAGGTTCTTCCCTAGGTCACTCGTGGAGGATGTGTGGAACGGTGGTCTCGACTGTACGTGTAGCACAGGAGCCAGAAGTGTATTGCGATATAGCAATGAAGACTGTAGTGGGAAGACTACAGCGAATGGAGGGTACTGTAGGAAGACAGTACCAGAACGAAGATCCCTGTATGTGAAGATACAGGGGAACGAAGTACTGTGGTAGGAAGACCACAGTGAACGAAGAGAATAGACTGAAGATCCTCAGCCTATTCTATGGGCCTTTTATACTACTTTGGGAAGTAGGGCGTGAGAATACCGAATATGTATCTGTAGGTATTCTCTAAGTCGTCTCTCTCAATAACGACTACTCTTGTGCTTCTCCGTCTGTCTCCTTCCGGCCAGGAAAGACTAGGAGGTTCATGCCCTGCGTGTGAGTAATTTATAAGGCGGCGTTCCATGCCCGCTAATACAATAGGCCCGTGATACTCGACCAACGATAAGGTGATCCGTTGGGAGTGGATGACCAAGGTTAATATCTGTACCTTGGTGTACGCCTCAACCTGTGAGGCCGCTTGATAGTTGTGATGATCGTATCGGTATAGACCGCCGTGTAGGCCCGATAGAACGTGATCATAACAATACCCCCTTTCTACGTCCTATTCGCCTGGTAGGACAGCGCTGTGCGCTTCATCGCCACTCCATATACGATTTGCTTTCTTGATCCAACGATGGTCTCCGGATGCGGCTTCCGAGACATGACTTCGTTTTCTGGGAGGAAGACCGACTTACGTCGTTTGATCCTCTAGGAGTTTTCCATCTCCGTTGAGCTGTTTGTTTGTCGAGTCGTGAGGGTATCCAAGCCTCCGCTCTCTAGGATGTTCTTCCTTCACCCTTCGGTTGTTGTGATCTTTCCTGGGTTCTCAAGCCAGGATGTCAGTCCGGTCGACGCCGGACAGGTGTCAAGAAAGGCGTATGAATGCGAGTGGTGTGTGGATGAATAGAAACTCTAGCGTGTGGGTTCCGATTCGTGTCATCAGGTTCTTCTTCTTCCTTCTCCGAGGGCCAAACCTC